GTGTTATTTGTAGTAGATGGGTTTTGTTAAGTTCTTTAATATAAAACACAACTAGACACCGACGCTGGTTCATGATGTTTAAAGTAATTCAAACCTGCTAGTTGAGTGTAATTAAAGGCATGTCTAGAATTAACAAAGAACTAACAAGCAGACTGCAAACTGTTTCCGTCTTCTAACTATGTAACAACCACTCCAGAATCGTTAATCTCTCTGCCAGCAAATGTGTTTTATTTAGTTCTCTTCTGTAGAGATAGTTTTCTATAAGGTTTATTTAGCATTCAATGGCCAGTAGTAAAACTAGATGTATTTTTATAGTAAGTAAAGAACAAAATTATTATCTACCTCATTGTAATACAAATAAATAGATGCGCAGTTATTTTCTATGTATTATCGTATAAAAACTGAGACTTCAAGACTACAATATCAGACGTCATTGTAATACACATAAGAATGACGTTACCGTCAATATAAAATTTGATAGAATATTCTGCATACAATATGAACAGATGTCTCATAAATTTATCAATTAAAAGAATAACTTTCTTTTTTTTTTTTAATTGCGTTGTCGAAGTTTATTTATTTATATACTCTTTATTGCACACCAATAGGACACAAGAATAGAAGTGAAACAAAGAAAAAAACAAATGTACAATAGGCGGCCTTATCGCTAAAACAGCGATCTCTTCCAGGCAACCTTTGGTAGAGGAGAGAGAGATAGGATGGTAGGGGTGTACAAATTATAAATATAGATACAATATACATACATATATATATATATATATATATATATATATATATACACACACACACACACACATAATTATATATATGTGTACAGTTTTATATCATAATGGTGCGCTTTTCTTTGAAGGCACCTGTCCTAGGATTTATGATTGTTTTTATTGTACGATGTCAATGGACTCAATTTTTGGAAAACTATTATTTTAAATAGAATAGAAAAAATACTTGGTCCTGGAATAGTCAGCGCTATAACAACCGTCATTGGGAACTAGAATTGTATTAGAACGTGGTTGAATTTGAATGAGATACTAAATAAGTTATTGCTATTGTTAGCAGTTCCGAATAATGTGGGTTAAATATTTCACACATTGAATTTAACATTATGCTTACAATTCAAAATGGTAATACTCGTAGGTATGCGAAATCTGGGAAGAAACTTTTTGATTGTTTTATTTTGTAGACATATTCATTAAAACAATTTTCAACAATGGATATAAATATTATATATGTATAGTTAAATTTCCAACAAAGTTAATAGTACCATTGCTAAACGAAGTTAGCCAAAGTTAGATATGAATATATAGTAACAAATAATATGTCGGCTCGTGTTTGGAGTATGGATGAGCCGACATATTGAGTATGGGCGAGCTACATAATTGGCGCTGGCGTATCACGGTTATGAAAATTATCCTCCATTTTATAATACTTATTACAATAAATTACAATTTGTATATATTTTTCAAAATTTTAATTAATTGTTTTTTTTTTTCATAATATTTCCATCAGGCCATTTACAAGTTTTGATTATATTATTTTTAATCAAGAAAAGCTGTAGTACTTATATTATGTATCTATTGAAAATATAATAAAATTAAATTTAAATTTTTTTTGTCTAACACTACTTCTACTTTCACTCACACAAATGCAAAGCTCAGCTTAAATCTAACGGACTATAATAGAATTAAAGGTAAACTTGTTTAAAGAAACAAGAGAATATTATTAAAATATAATATATAATAAACATAGTGTTTATGATGTTTGTTTACAAACAGCAGATTTTAAATATTTAAGTAAAATCTCTAATACTTTATGTGACGCAAACAAATTTATTATTCAAGCAATTTCTGCACAGCAATTTATGAGTGGCGTAATTCACTTCAAAGCTTTCTCAAATAATTTTCGATCTGTGAAAATTTACATACATTTTGTAAATACTTTATTTAGTTCAGAAGGTATACTGTGAAATCATAGTGTACCATAGAAAATGTAGGTTTTAACGCAGTTTATCAGTTAATATTCCATATACTATTATTATTATTGCTGACTGGAATAAAATGTCCAAGAGCGCTAGTTATCTTCATACCTTTTTTCTCCTGTAACTAACTAAACCAGCCTATATTATCGATACAAATTGATTCAATGTAAATGTTGACTCCTATTATTTTGTCAAAAATGTGTAAAAAAATTTATTGTCAGTTGTGAATGTTGCCAAGAAGTATGTTTTGGAATTGTCGTGTGCTATTATGTATCTAAATATTAGTTACTTTATGGGAAGTCTTCAACTCATTACATAAATTTAATGCACATTAAAAGCCTCCAGTTTCAAAATATTTTTATAAGACAAGTTCAATTTGTAGAATATTTTAGTAGGTTAAATATGTAGAATATTTGTATAGAGAAAACTAGTCAGTAAAACAGAATGTGACATCTCTGAAATAATAGATATGAGTACATATTGTTAGAGACAAATATTTTGTTCTATTTTCTAATATCTTTTTATGAAATTTTATTTATTTTAATATTTTAATAAATATCTATTTGGAGACTTAAAAACATTATATGAATGCATATAAATTATTCTTCTAATTAATTTTTCTCAAAGCGATGAACTCTAAAGCAATCGTTAAAGTAGTTTATAAATCCGTCGAGAGATCCCGTTTAAATGTTGAAGACTACACTCCGAGTGCTAGAAAACTTAGATACCATCTTTTAGTGTTGAAAATTTAATTGTGTTAAATATTATCCTTATTCTAAGACCAAATACAAAAATACTTAAATAAAAGTCAATGTATTTCATCTTATTTCAGTATATGAAATGTTTTAATAAATTCTTTTTAACAGAATTATACTAATAAAACACAACATCTAAATATACATTTACAAATTTTAATTAAAATGCATTATCATATCATTTCTAATATTATATCTTGTTTATCACCACATACTATTACTTACATTTTTATTACAGTTGGCATGTCACGAGAGGATATTGGGCAATATATATTATATAATATGTCCATATGAGCTTATGTTACAATATATTCAAATAGCAGCTAGGGAGCTGACACGTAAAATATTGCAATGCAGCGAAATATGTTCTAACAAGCATGAAAGTGCAAAATATTTAAATAGCATTTCCTCTGATCTTGATATTAGATTGTTATATGCAATAAACTTTAATAATTGCAATTTTTTTCTTAACAACTCTGTGGAGATAATACGGTGGAGGACCAAAAAAAATTTATAATTGACTTTTTGAAATAAATATTGACATGACTTTAAATGAAAGATTTCATAAGCAAAACATCACTTTTATAATTTGTATTTTTGGTAAAGGTCCAGGTAAATAAGGATGTAGAAAATAAATTTCAATAAAACTTTACAAAAAGTCCCTTCGTCATTCAAGAATTTCAAATAGAAGCCTGGACCCAAGTTTTATATTACGAAAAAAAGTTTTTTCTATTTAAGGACTCCTCCTTGTAAAGGACAAGTTATTTAAGGCGAGCGTGACTTGATACTACATATGTATATTGATTATGCACTGTTTGAGTGCTATTAATATACTACTTCTTTTATCAAGTAAGTGTATATGAATGATTTAAAATTAAAAATTATTTTACTATACAAAATGTTGTGCTCAACTTAAAACTAATCAAATATCATATGTACTTATACATATGTTAATTTGTTTTTTCAAGTCACATTAAGTCTACTTATAAGTTCATCTATACATATAATAAAGGGACTCGTGCGTAGTAAACGGAATTATGGCTTGCCGTTCCCCCTCACTAGCCTACGCACAGCGCAGAGAACGCCGAGGAGTTTAGTGGGTGGAAATCCCACATTCCCCCGCCGTGTTTTTGTCTTTGAAAGACTTTGAAAGATTCTCCTCGTTAAAAAAAAATAAAATACATATACTAAAATTGCAACATTTCGCTGTCTGAGTACTGGAGATACATATACATATATATATATATATATATATATATATATATATATCTAACAGAAATAGATGGTTCCATGTGGCTTTGTTCTGTGTTAGCAATCCCAGCTTACTGTATGATTTGTTAAGACTTCTGGCCATAGGGTAAGGACCCCATAGCCATAAGTCGAATATGGTGTGTAGAGTATTTTTTATATTTCATGCCACAAGTACTTACATGTTATCTTATTATATCTTAGCCAGGAAAGTTGGAGTAAAATATATAACTACTCAAACATTAATCATCTCTGTCATAAAATAAAAAATCCTTTATGGTAAGAAATATAGAAATTACAGTTATAAAATTATTCAATCTGAAATTTTAAACTGTCAAGTTTGATTTTAAAATCACTTAAAATTTATATGTTTTCCTATACAATCCCACAAAAAAAACCACTTATTTTTCCATTTATATGTAGGTTATTTTGAGTGGCTTCTCCTCCTTGATCTGTGGAAGGAAATGAGCATAGTGTATTTCCGAGTTTCCGTTCCTTTGTACATTTTTCTACAACCTACTCTTAATATACCGCAAACTTTTCTGCAATAAATCAAATTTTTATATTTGCTGATTTTATTCCATTACAGTTAAAATGTGATCGAGTCTTTCATTTATTTAAATAAAAATGCACGATTTATATGGATATTATATGTTTAAGCATTATACGCAATAGCTGAAATTAATATTTTAATTTTAACCACCGTTTATAAATCTACTTATGGAAATCCCATACAATATTTTTATCTACAACTTAGTATGTGTGTAATATGTGTTATTAACTAAAATTTGAGATATATTGTATGTAGGGGAAATGCAGAAGAAACACTCCTTTAAATCAACAAATTATAGGTTTATTTTAGAAACTTTCATGAGAACAACTTACTACTAATCAGTCTACATGTTTTGATAATTAATTAATCAGACTTTAATTAAATCACATAGTTCAAAGATAATGGATGATTTTCAAAATCTTCCAATTTGCCCTCATAGACAGGCAAAATGGACCACATGCGAGGGCAAAATGGACCTGTTCAATATGTTCCTATTTTATTCCCGAGGACAGTGTCGCATATAAATATGGTGTCTGCATCATCATCCTTCCGCATCCATCCATCCATCTACAACTACAGTATGCTCATTGGTGAGAAATCTGGTATCGCACCCAGCCTTCTTTTGATTCTGAATGGAGATGATAGCAGTAAAAACACTTTGTATCGTCTTTTTCTCCTTTTACTATGAAATAGATGGTTGTTCCTGTACGTGGGACATTGTTGCAGAACGCTGAGCATTCACTGAACGATTAAATAATGTCTGAATCTCACTGCTAATCTTACCTTGAAGATTTGTTACTTTTAGTGTAAAGAGGGCCGGTGTCCCATTTTGCATGGACCGTTTTGCCCTTTGGGAACATTTAAATCAAAAATAAATTTTGAGGTTTGAAATCACTATGATAATGCATATTGGCTATACATAATAGAACAAAAGTGCAGGCTACTCAAAAATGGCACTTTTTATATCAAAACAACAAAACCATAAATATCGCACCCAAATTTTTTCTACATGTAAGACAGGCTCACCGACACTGACCGGGGAGAGCCGGGAGGCGGACAGCTATTAATAACAGTACTTACTTTCAGATGTCGTTTGTAGTCTTAAAGTTATCAAAGTGGTCCGTTTTACATGCAGGGTCCGTTTTGTCTGCAGTTCCCCTACGTAATTTGAGATGTACACCTTATTGTATGTGATTGATGCGAGATCTACATATTATATGTACAATTTATGTGATATAACAATACTCTTAAGACAGTATCGTTAGAATATTTTATAACTCAAGAATGGCTGTATGGGTTTAGCTGAAAATTTATGAAGAGATAGATATCCTAGAACCAGGAAAAGAACGTAGGATACTTTTCGTACAAACAAAAAAAATGATACAACACAAAATCTTCTTATTTACTGCCGTTAAGGAGGAACAGAGTGTGCCAAATCAACTATATGTTTCTCAATTTAGTCATTAAAAAATATGAGTAGTATTACATACTGTGTTATCATGATTAAAACAGTTACATAAATTTATTTTGTCTAATTATAACTAAATTAAACTGAGTTCTTAAACCTTCCGTCTTATCTTAACATTTAATGCTATGGTAAAACGCCTTGAAAGTTTAAGGTTAATTACTTTTGTAACATATTCCCCATGGCTTTCTATAATTATCTTATTTAATGAAATGAAATTAAACTTTATATGAGATTTATAAGATGTAGTTAAGTTACCTGAAGACGAAATAACGATAGCTTAGAAAAAAATTAAGACAAAAGTTGAATAGTTATTTTTGTATTATTTTTTATATTATTACCGTTGGAATTTTGATTATTTTCCATGTATCATTATAAATCACATGATATATATTTGTTTTAGTCACTTTAGTTTTTATTAGTTTTACTAGTTTAATACAGAAGTCTATTTATACTAAAAATGCAACGAAGATGTACCAAAAATCTATGTAATGTTTATGATTATTTTGTAGAATTAACAAAACACAGTATTCGGTCAGAGGTTTTCAAGTTTTTCCCGAACCAAATAGTAATAATTAACACATAGAATCAAAATCTTTCTGCTTTCTAATCACAATAATATCACTATAATTCTCTAAAATTCATTCAATATAATCTGATGCATACACATGATATAATACTCTACTTTAGGATAACCAGACTTATCAACTATGGAATCTTAAGTAACTTTGACTAATCTTTTACCATCTTAAATACTCAGCTATAAGAGGATAGGTGAAAGAACATTGCTTTCTAAAATATATATTATATTAAAATAAATAACAATGGTTATTTCATTTATATAACATGATTGAAATATTTATATTATTTATAACTATTTATATCTACTTAAGTAATATATATACACCCTTAGTGTAAATCAAATGACTCCGTGCAATATGAGGGAAATCATACTTTTATTATATTTTATTACGTTTATATCCTATAAATATTATAAATATAAAAGTTTGTGACGTTGTATATGTCCATGGATGTAAGTCGCTCTTTTACACAAAACTTTCTTAAAAAAATTGGATTAAATTCTAATAATGTGGTTCAGACATCAGAATACAATGGGCTATAAATTTATTCCAAAATTTCGAGTAGTGACCTCTACATCTCGGCATGTTAAATGTATTATGTGTACAGTGACGTGGTCGTGACATACTGGTTGGTTGGCATGTCTATTGTTTTAATACATTTAGAACCAGTTTCACCAATCAATGTTAAATAAATAACGTCTAATTAGAGCGTTTGTCGGACTGTTAGATGTATCGAGCGTCCTACCATGCACTTATGTTTGTTTAAATGTCTTAACAAGACATTAATAGTATTTTTTGATCTAGAGGTCAAATGTCTAACCGACTGTTGTTATCGAACTCGAATGTTATTGGACATTTGAGTTTTGACACCACCGATTTTTTGTAGCCATAAAAAGACATTCGTTTTTTCTTTTTCGAGTATTTGATTGTATTTACTAATAAAGTGTATTAAAATTTCTTGTTCATATGACGAACAATTTTACCCCCGGCTTTTTCATTGACATTGCAAATTAAGAACTCTTTTAATCACTTATAACTCGAACACAATTTATGCCGATAAATTAACAATACGATTTTGACAGGTTACACCTAGTAAACCGAAAAGAAAGCTTTTTATGCGCCAAATCAATGCAATCAATGATATAAAAATATAGTGATGCATCGTAACAAAATTTGGTAGCCGGTCATTTAAAGTGTCATTTAATAATGCCTTGTTAATTTATCGTCGTGGGACGTAAATATTTTGACAGATAATTATTTTTTTGGAGGTTCGTTAGTAAATGCCTCGTTTAGATTTAACAAACAGTGCTGTGAAACTGGATCTTAATAGATTTCTTTTTGAGCACAATTTTGAATCTCAAACTAACGAATTCGCTTTCAAATATACTTAATAAAAGAAATAGCTTAAGGTACAAAGTTATGTAACAATCTATGTAAATTGTGCATATATGAAATTTGTGTCCTTATCATAACTTTTTTTGGAATTAGAGAAATAAAAATATTCTTATACTTTTATGGCTTTAATTCCAGTAAATAAAATAGCAATACAAATATTCAATAGAAATTGATTAAGTATTATCCATATACCCAATAGAATTTTATGTTGATAGAATTTTTATGAATATAAGCCAACATTATAAAATATTCTATTTTCTAAATTTTTGTTATTAATTTTAGAAAAATATTTTAGTGTCAAATTCGACTAAGATTGAGTTCGTCGATAGAACAGCAATACAGGTTCATTTATGATTAATGGTGCTTGGGGGAAAAAAATCTTTTATTTCTTTAATAACATGAAAAAAATTGTGAGTAAAAGATACACAATAAATTGACTTATAATGGAACTTTATGTATTTAGGACAACCGTAATAAAGCAAATATGTAAATTTCGTCCAGAGGATGATTTCAGTTTCACATCATTGTAATAATATAATTTATATTCAATAAAATAAAAGAACACATACAACAATTTATATATATGTAATAATTTCCTTAAAAATATAATATTGCGAGAAGAATTCAAATTGTATAAATAAGACAAATGCATCAAGTTCGGTGACGTGATACATACGTGAAATATATTTTTATGATGAATAGTGTTTTATCGAAAAGGCTGCTTTTGTTTAAAACCTATAGTTTTATCCGAACACATTTTTATTAATATTAACTTAATTATTTCTTATATCTTTAACAATGTACAGTAACGCTGCTACATTCTCAAATTAATTTGGGAAATCAATCTTCAAAATTATTATCATAACACAAGTACCATTTATCATAAAGTATGTGTAGTAATTTGTAAAAAGTCAGATAAATTAATAAGATCTTTTTTTGTTAGAAGTTAACCTAGGTATATAATACTTAGAGAATTTTAAATCTTGTTTTTTAAACAATTGTACTAAATTAAATTAAATTTCAATGCTAACTTTGTATTTTGACTTATATTATAAATTATAATCTTCTTTTTAAACAATGTTGACTCAAGCAGTATTTCTTACAAACCTACATATGTCTAGGTTTTTCTAGTCAAATATGTTAATATAGATAATAAAAGACAGAAATAAATATTTGTCAACAGGTTTTGTTAAAAAAAATGTCGATGAAATTATATCGTTTTCCAAACATATTGTATTACAAACTAGATATATATCAGAATTTTTAAGACAGACAGCATTAAAACTGTATACAAAAAAAAAAAACTTAAACACAAACGTGTTGAGAAAAATACATGGAAGTGTAAACTTAGTTATTTGATGTATAAATATTTCATTGACCCGGATTTCGCCATTTTACTACCATTATAAATTATAAAGTATTTAAATGAAACTAATATTTTTCGGATTTTACTTCGCGTTTTATTTTTGATTAGAAAACTACATACTCCCGACGTTTCGGCTACTTTTCAGCAACCGTGATCACGGGCAGACGAGATGTGAGTGTCTCATATGTAGTTTTCTAATCAAAAATAAAACGCGAAGTAAAATCCGAAAAATATTAGTTTCATTTAAATGAGTACTCGCGAAAATCTTAGATCTCATTTATAAAGTATTTGTTATACCACTTCCTTAATCAGCAATTGCTATCAGTATTTTATGGTAAGAAATCACAAACAAGAAAAGATTTGAAGTACATGGTGCTCTGGCTGTTGGAACAAAAAATAAGAAGGTAATAAATAATTCTTCATATAAATGAGATGATCTTTCACAAGTAAGGTTCAATATATCATGTCCTTATAAAGGATGCTAGAAAAGTTAACAAGAAAATAAGGATAATAATATATCTTGTATTCTAACAACGATTAAGACCCTTTGTTATATTTATTTTCTATCGCCGGACTTCATGAGCGAATTAATGTCATATTACGTTTTGCATAAATAAAGATAATCGAAAATTACTATTTTTAAACTAATTTACATAAATATTAAATTTCTTGAGTACTCAACAAAAAAAAATGTTTGTTTCGTTATTTTCTCATTCTAGAGTGACGTCCTAATAAATAACTTTTCATTAAAACACTTAAATCGCAGGCAAATCTGGAAAAAAATGGAGCCTTAATATAACCGTTTTTATGTACAAATCGTGGCATATTATTGTACTTACCTAGGTTATAAAGTGAGACACGGGCAGCGCTATGTGTGTATT